TCATGGAATGGATTTTGGCTGTGAGTCAAGAAGAGCTCTTGTTTCCCAGCTAAACGATGGCAAATCAATTTGAGGTCTTGGCTGGAGCTGCTGATTAGGGCTGGCAGCCAGGGAGCCTGGGGCTGGCTGAGCCAAGTCAGGGCTCAGCTAGTCTATGGGAGGAGGGAGCAAGCAAGAGCTGAAGGCCAATGTTGAGTCCAAGAACCCAGAGCTCTTGTCCAAGACTTGGAGGGGTTATAATCTCAATTTATTTATAATTGCAACATTGATAGTCTTTGTTTATTTGTTTGGGGTTGGGGTTTGCTATGTAGCCCATGCTGACCTGAGAATTCACTATGAAGCCTTAGCTGGCCTTGAACTCACAATTTTCCTGCTTCAGGTTTTTGAACGCTGAGAGTCCAAGCATGAGCCATCATGCCTGGAGGAGATCGATAGCAATCATAGTCTTAGGTACCATGTACCAAGAAGTTGATATGCCTGGGCTAGGCATTTTAATACATTTTGTGGCTAACTGGGTATCACAGGCCTTATCCTTTTGTAATGCGACTCCTAGGAGGTCAAATGAATGACTCCCAAGTTCCAAAGGAGGTGTCCTGGGAAGAAATCCAAACGTTTTATCCTGTGCTTAGCTGTGTGTTGTTTTGCACATAGGACTCTGAGCTCTCATGAGTTTGGCAAATGCAAGTCTGAAGGTAGGCCTGACTTAGACTATGGGCCCAGGAAGGGAATGAGGGAACCTTAACTGTACAAAATGATCAGTGGCGGATGTTTACTGACTAAGCCTCGAAGAAAGACCTGTAAGGTAGGTCGGGGTACATATTGTGAAGTCAGTGGCCCCCAACATGTCCTGGTCTCCAGCTATCTTCCTTTCTGGGATTCATGCTGTGCAGAACCTTGCTATCTTGATGGTCCCCATGTAGATTACCAGGGCACCCACTCCAGGATTGATGCCCCAAAAGAAAAGCGAATGTTCACTGCTCAGAGCCACTAAATTGGGGGGGTCGTTTGTGATGTGTCTATAGATAAATAACTATAACACATTGATATCATTTTAAGATACAAGAGGAATTCTTGGAGGAGATAGTTGATCCCCATCATCCTCTTGGCTTGTTTTGTGGCCCTAGGAAAAGTCACACATCTTCGAAGCTTCTCTTTCTCCTGTGTAAGGTGGAGATAATTCCGACCTCACAGATTGCTTTTGAGATAGGTCATGTATTTAAAGCAATCAGCTCTTGCGGATGGCATATAGCAAGTGTTTACTGAGTAGGGGAGGGGGGCTCCCTTTCCCTCCCTAGCTTATTATATTAGCATGACCATTACACAGACAGGGTCATTTCATTTTTCTCACAGTGAATGCACCAGGGAATTGATGTAACCAAGAGCTGAAGATCCCTGAGCCTGCCTCAAGATAGGATGGATGGATGGATGGACGGATGGATGGATGGAGGGGGAAATACATTGGGTCTGGAGACTAAGATGGTGATGCTAGCTCTCATGCAACCTTCTGAGCCTAAAACTTTTCTAAGTTCTATGTTTGGAGCTGGGGATGCCCTGCCCGAGGTCACACAAAGAGGAAGGACTGGAATCTGCATTTCTACCTGGGTCAGCAGGGATGCAGAGGCTGGATTTGAGGATGTCTCTGGTTGGAGGAGCCTAACTGAGAAAATATTGTCTTCAGGCAGTATCAAATCAATCTCTTAGATAAGGCAAGAAACCCCAATTAATTACAAGGACTAAGTGAACGGTCTAGAAGCTGGGCTTTGCAGCCAATTAGGGAGACTTAAAGGAGGTTTCATTAACTCTCTGCCTCCTGGCGGTTTTTAGTTTAGAGAAAGGGGGAGCTTTCAAACTAGTGTGAGCTCCAGGACGCCATGGAGAATGCAGACACAAGAGTACCTCCAGCCAAGGGTGGCACAGAGGGGTTCCTGAAAACACAAGATAACGGGTTTGACTTTAATCCCCCTGTTCACTCTAGGCTTCTTGACTTCAAGATCTTTTGGTCCTGTGGTGAAGTCAGTGGTCAACACCTTTTCCATCTGGGGTACCAGACCGTGCCAATGCCATTTGTAAGTCTATGAGTAAGCCAGCGGGAATGTAGACTACTCACTGGATCCTACCAGGTGCTCAAATCCAGGATACCCAAACTCATGTCCTTCCCCCGAACTTGACCACATCTGCTGGGTTCCATATCCTGGGGTGTTCTGCCATCCAAGGTGGAATCACGATGCCTCCCTCCTCCACGCTCTGCACACGTGACCCTGTCCATTGCTGTACAGTGTATCCCTTCATTCTGCCCGCCTCATCACACTCTTTCCTCACTGGCAAAGATCAGGCTGTACCTCCACCTACCTTGACACTGCACTGTCTCCTCCGGGTTCAGGGTTTCCAGCCTCTTACTCCCAACCTGAGAAGACATTCTCCTGTCTGTATCTCAGCTTACTGCCCTTCCACAGCTCCTGGTGGCCTGCAGGCAGAGCCCAAATTCTGTGCGGTTGCTGTTCCCAGACTCAGTTTTCACCAACAGCTCAGCCACCTCTGACAGACATCTCTCACCCTTCCTCGCTCTTTCCTACCTCCTGGATGGAGCTTATTTTGTCCCCACCTCCACCTTTCCCTTTGTTCTTGGTACCCGAGGGCTCTCCTTCCCCATTAAGTTGTTGCCTTCTCATATGAGACTCATTTTAGTTGTTGCCTCCTCCAGGGAGCCTTCACCAAAGGCCCAAGTATACATGAGTTACTGCATATGCTCTGGTGGGCAGCTGGTCTGTCTCTCCCTTTCTAAGCAGTTTCCTGGGTGGATCAGGTTGTGTGGCTGGTGTTCTTGGTGTCAGTACAGTGCCAAGCATGCAGCAGACGTTTGACTTAACTAAGGGGATTAAGACACTTTGAAGAAAAACTTCAGGATTCAAACCAGGAGGGCGGTGGTGTTTACCCACCAGGGAGGGTGCAGGTGCACTGGGATCCACTGTAAGGAAAAGAGAGGAGAGGAGAGAAGCAGTGCCTGTCTCTTCGTGTCTAAGCTGTCACTAAGGGGCAGGGCCTTGTGTGTCTGGCAGAGTCCCCCGCATGGTGGACTCCCAGGTAATTCTGGAGTCCTTGTTCTTTCTTTCCCACGATCTGGGCCTGAACTTTGTCTTGCAGAACTCCACAGGGAACTCACCGACAGCCACTGCTCCTCTGTGAGACGTCTTTACCTTCCGAGACTCTGCTGCGAAGGTCTGGGACAACTGGCCCTTTCTGAGGGAGGGAGGTTTTGGGCTCAGACCTGCTATTCTCACTCTGCTGCAGTTCCCTCTCTCTCTGGCAGTGCAGGAAGAATTTGTAATTGCTTCTAGCCAACAGCACAGGGCACATCCTTCTGCAGTTAGTAATAGGAGGTTGTGGCTTCCATTTGGCTAGCAGGCTTATCTAGAGTTCTCCCGGCTGGCACACTGGGGTAGAACAAGCCTCATGTTGTGAGCTGCCTCAGCGGAGGGGCCCACATGGCAAAGGTCAGAGGACATTCTCCAGCCAACATCCATCAAGTACATCCTCCCAGCAGCTGTGTGAGCTTGGGAGCGATCCTTGCTCAGCTGAGCCTCCTGATGAGGACCGCAGCCCTGACCTGCACTTGGCTAGTTTCCTCATGAAGACCTGAAAGCAGAGAATCCAGCCAACCTTGTGCCCAGGCTCCTGACCCACAGACACTGGGAGGTCACAAGTGTGTTGTTTATGGAGATTGCAGTCATGGGGGAGATAAGTGTATTCCCAAACCTTAAATAGAGTTAATAGCACTAGTCGATAAGTGCTTGATACACGATGATAAGGGCATGCGTGCAAAACTCTACTTACTCCTTACAACAGTGGAGGTTAGAATAATTATTATCATTCTGCTTCCCTTGTGAGAAGATGCTCACAGGGGTTAAGTGTCTTGCTCAAGATCGCTCTGCTGGGTGGCAGCGCCTGTCTGTATGCTTGGGGCTTTTATTGCAACACAAAGCCGTGAGGCTTTGTGCTCCGTGTGCATGGTAACAGACTCTGCTGTGGCCAAGAGACAGCAGCTCTATCAGGGGACTGTGCAGAGGGGAGTGACGTGAGCTAGTAGCTAGAGGATTGTGCCGAGGGTGCAAAGGGGGTGAGGGGTAATTTATACAAATGTGATGTAGCATTGAATGGGGACCTGGGTACTCATGGAACACTAAGGTGCACGTGGCTCTGACGTAGCAGGCTGGAATCACTGGAGCCATAGCACACAGGGCCATTTTGGTCATGGGGATGCTGTCCACCAGGTAGATACCATCCTATAGGTGGGTGGGAGGGGCTGGGCAGGGAGTGACATATTGATGCTTGCATTTTAGATAGACCCTCTAGCTGGGGCTGGGATGGCAAGGAAAGGGAGGCAGAGAAGGGAAGAGGTAGAGGAGTCTGTGAGGACAGACCCATGCCTGACAATAGGAAGTGCTGAGAAACCAGAGAGAAATGGGCCTCACTTCAGGCTGGTCAGAGATGGGGGGTACAGACCCCCAGTGAAAGGGGTCTTATCCTGAGCCCTCAGCAAGCTGTGTCTGTGTCTAAGAGGAATGCTGAGTGCTGTCCTCTCTGTGTGTCCTCAGCCTCCCGCAAGCCTCCCTGGTGCAGAAAGGAGCAGGTGCCCCGTCTGCGTTGCTGGATGAACTACTGATAGACATTTGCCCATCTATTGTGTTCATGGGGTTCTCAGGATGCCACATCCCAAGGAGCTGGCAGAGAAGGGCAGCCTGGGATGGGATGCGAGGTTCAACATGCACAAACCCTACTCTGGGATTGTAGAGCTGGCCTTCAGAGGTAGAGCGACCCTGGAACTTGGGCCAGCTCCAACTTTAGCCTCCATTGATTTTTGAGGTAATTTCTACAGTGTCCTGGCCAGAAGCTGGGGGTAAGACATTGGAAGACATTGGGCGTTCTGGGGTATCTTGAGCTGTGTTGGTTGTCACCAGTCACTGGTGGTGCTAACGGACAGAAGAAGGCTGACAGACGGAAGCTGCTGTACAAGGTCTTTTTCTTTGTTGTCATGGTTGGTTTTGTACATCTTAGCATTTGCATCATACAAAGTGGGGAGCACAGCCATGGCTTTTGGTCAGGTTCAAGGGAGTGCAGGGGGTGGCCCTCCCCTCCCCCAGATACTGACACATTTAAAAGAAGCAGAGCAACAAGGACAGAGCACAATTGTGGGAAAGGGGATCCCCTACATGAGCAGGATGGTCCATCTCCCCTGGGTCTCAGGAGAACCCACCTCCATCCTGGGGCCAGGAGGAGCACCTCTGTTTTCTCCCTGGTGAAAAGGGTAGGGCTATAGGAATAGGGACGAGAGCAGAGGACATTTTCTGGGAGGCATACCATACCCTTAGACCAGGGAGACAGCCCCCTTGGGAGCCAGTCTGATTTCCCAGGCCTCCCAGTTCAGTCACGAGCTGGCTAAACCTTAGAAAGATGGAACAAGGTGCTGTGGTGAGCACCCTTGCCAGCTGGGTGCTAGCCCTTGGGGCTGGAACTCCCATGCCATCCTTACTCTATCCTCAAGTCTTTAGGGTTGCTGGTTTGCCCACCAGCTACCCCACGGTGTGTGTGTGTGTGGGGGGGGGGCTCTGGGCTGCAACACATCTGTCTCTGTACCGCTCTCTCATTTTCTCTCTCTCACGTGCCTAGGATGGCCTACAGACCTCTCGGCTCCACTGAAGGAGGTGCTCCTGAAGCTTCTCTGCCAAGGACTCGCCCTCCAGTGCTTTGGAGCTGAAATGGAGGGCGTGCATTTTGGAAACCCCTGTGTCATCACCACAGAGACCCAGGGAATGCCCTTGTTCTCTCTGATGGGGAGTCCCAGGTGCAGGGGCCTGGTGGCTTTCCCCAAAGGTTCACGTGCCCATGTCAGTGGTCTACCTCATTCTATCTCCAGCCACCCACCATGCTGTGTGTGTGTTTATGTGCGCGCGTACACACGTGTGCACATGCTTGCATCCATGTGTGTGCTCATGTGCATGAATTCTGGAGCCTCTTTTCAGTGTGTTACTTGCATATCACATTTCTGTATGATATACTCATCTGCTTATTCCATGGGATGCACACACACCTCCTGCTCTAGGCACATCAGGTGAACAAACATCCCTTCCCCTGCTCACAGACCCATGTTTTGTCCTCCCAAGAGGACATAGCATCTTTTAACCCATTGTTTCCTCCCCATAGTCAGGTCTGTGTCAGAGATGTCAATCGTTATATCCTCCTGGGCTTTGTGTGGGTGGAATGAGATCTATACCAAGTAGAAATTCTCTCTCTTGCCTGCACCTCCAAAAGGCCTCAAAATCTGCTGTCTGGGCATGGAAAAGAGGAGACTTAGACCTAGGCTAAGCCAGCCCAGCTTGAAGGACTGTGGGTGGAGATAGAAAGCCCTGATCCTACTCTGGGTATCCAGAGGGGCCATGGAAATCCAGAACCAGCAGAAGGGTCTGGATTACCTCAGGCCCATGAGGGTTATCTTGCATGGCTGGGTTCTCTTGCTTACCTGCAGGTCCCTGGGTCTTGGTCTCTACTGCCCTTCTGGTGCTCTGTGTCCTGCCATATTGAGGCCTAAGAGTCTCTGTCACAGGGAAGGCCTATCCTAACCCTGGTATCCATCCCGTGTCCAGGTGGGAGTCTTACTCAGGGTTTAAGGAAGCCTGGGGCCCCTGGACTCGCTCCTGCTTGTCTCTGACCCTGGACCCCAATGCATTTGAGAGTGACCATCCTGCCCAGGATAGAAGAGGGAAACAAGCAGACAACAGGGGTGCAAGATGGCTCCCCATCACAGACACAGACACAAACACTGGCCCTGTGGGATGACACAGGGGTACAAGGGGATGGGGGAGAAGGGTATGTCCCAGGAGCTGGAGCTGCCGAGGCCCTGCTCCTTAGAGAGGGGACAGACCAGGGGACTTTTCTGGTTCCCTAAACATATGGATTGTTTAGTCTCCTCTTTAAAGTATTGCGGTCTAACTGATATGGCTTTAACTATTGGAAACGGACAGGAAGACACACGTCTTCTCTGAAATCAAAGCATAAGTCCACTAAAATGGAAAAACCTGCAGAATGCAAGGGGGCCAGTGGGACAGAGGCTTCGGGAGTGGGCAAGTCGCCCCCTCCTGGGCCCCTACTTTTGGGATAGGCCCTGGTAGGGGCCCAGCATGGCTTCCTGGGGCACTGCCTGGGTCTGTCCCAGTAGAATTCTGAGGACCTCAGGTAGGAAACCCCCAAGGGTGGGAGGACTCTAGGCCAAGGGGAAGGTCTCCTGTCAGATGTGGCCACCTGGACTAATGGTCTCAGGGTGAGGAGGAGGCATCTTATTCTGGTTCTTGCTAGCCAAGCACAACTTATACATACACCTGTTTGAGACCCACACACGTGAACACCTGTCTTGGCCCATCTGACAGTTCCCTCAGACGTTTCTGTATCTAGCATGTAACTGTCACTCTTGACACACATGCCATTTTGAAAATACATGCATATACAGGCTACCACATGCAATCTTTAAACACATGAGATGGCAGGCACACACCGAGAACATGGTTGAAGCTCAGGCACGCCGCGACCCACAAACACATATACACAAGGTACATCAGAGAAACTACCTCTGACAAAGAGGCATGACGACTAACACACATGCAGTCTCGAGACACCACACTCTAACCATACGCAGATGCAGGACGAGGCCTGCCATACTTATGTGTGTGGTGTGTGTGTGCGTGTGTGTGCGTGGACTCACACATTTGTCTCTCTTTTGTGCCTTCCCCTCTGTCCCTGTTCCATTTCTACACAAGTCACAAAGCAGGCAGCCTCAACAGTGTGGGGTGTGAGGACAGATGGCAGTCTTATCCATCCCAGAGGAGAGCTGATTCTTGGCCAGTGGGATGAATGGACAGTCTTTCGTCTGGTGGGAAGTGGCTTTTCCCCAGCTGCTTGGGGCTTTGACCAAGAAGGGTCCTCCTGGGGACAATGGGGACTTGGAAGCACATGGACAGGACATGGAAGGGAAGAAAGGTTGAGAGGAATGGGGGCAGTCTGGCTGTACCAATGACGGGTCCCATGGCACAGACCATCACTGCCCGATGGCTCCAAGTATTTTCTGGGGACCTGGGCAGCCCCTTGGCTGGGCAAACTGGGGCCTAGCCTGGCAGTGGGGTCCCAGGGCCTAAGTCAGATGAGGGAGAATAAGGGGTTTCCCTGCCCTAGGCTCCTCCACAGATGTGCTGAAGTCCAAAGAGGATCCATTTGGAGGGAGCAGCTTGGCAGGGGCCGTACTTTTTAAAGTAGGTTGGGGAGAGGTGTGCTCCTAGGTAGACGCCACCAGGAAGAGGGAAAAGGACAGCCCGAGCCTCTTGCCCAGACTCTAACCTGGCCAGATCCAGCTCGATCCTCTCAGGGCAGGCTCACTGTGAACAGCCTTTCTCAGAGCCAGGGCCGTTCAGTGCCTCTGCCCTGACCTGGACTCCCACTGGGGATTCAGACAGAGGCCAATGGTCAGCATGCTGGGCAGGGCTGGAATGTGTCATTACTTTGGCTGGCTGGGGACAGTGGTCCTCCTGGCAGTGGGGAGCATGAAGGAATGTATGGGGGGGTCACCACACTAACATAGACCTCGGGCTTCTGGAGGGGCACCCAGTGCCTTTGGTTCTGGGTTCAATGCCCCCTGCTGGAGTAAAGCTGTCTTCCCTTTCAGGCTATTTGGGAGTGGAACAGGGCTAGAAGCCCTGGGATGAAGGGGAGAACAGAGGGGAGGCGCCCCTGGCTAGGGAAAGGGGGCAGAGGCCAACTGAGGTTTTCCCCTTTGGAACTGATACTTAACTGAATAAAAAGAAAAGACTAACAATAACAAAAAAAGTCATAAGGTGGATGGGGCAGTAGGGATGGATTACTTCTTGAACATGTCCTGCAGCGGCCCGGGCAGGTATTTGAGCACTGTGTCCAGGATGCTCTCTTCCTCCTCCTCCTCCTCATCCCCACATCCTGCAGGGATGGCCTTCTTGGGTCGGGTCAGGCTTCCCTCGCAGGGCTGTTCCAGGGCTGCCTTCTCCTCTGCCTCCTTCTCTTCCTTCTTCTTCAGCCCATACTAGGGAAGAGAAGGACAGAGAAAGGTGTGAAGTCAACAAGTCAGGGGAAGCAAAGGGTTGGTTTTCTCACTCAGTCAGACTTTGGGGACAGGTCTCATCAGCATTTTAAACTCCCCAGGAAAGCTGCTTTCCCTGGAGCCCTGAACCAGTCCTTAGTAGGTGAATAACATAAAAGGCTGTGCCTCAGGCTGGGCGGTGGTGGTGCACACCTTTAATCCCAGCATTTGGGAGGCAGAGGCAGGTGGCTCTCTGTGAGTTCGAGGCTAGCCTGGTTTGCAAAGTGATTTCCAGGCTAGCTAGGACTATTATGTAGAGAAACCCAGACTCAAATAAATAAATAAATAAATAAATAAATAAACAAACAAATAAATAAATAATCGAAACCCAAAAACCAAAACAAAACATAAAAGACTACCTCGGTTTCCTGTAAAATGAACCCCTTTGTCCTTTTGAAGGCCTCTAAGTTCTGAGTTCTGAATGTCTTCCAGGGCAATTTTCGTGACACAGTTGGCTGACTGAGGGCTACTTGCAGTGTTACTTGGCAGCATGGTACAAATAGACTTGCACTAAATGAACGATAGCTCCCTCCCTGGTGGTCAGGGTAGCAGGGAACTGTTTCTAATATCCACAGATTCTGAATTCCACTTCTATTTGGTTCCAGGAGCTCTGGCAGGGAGGTTGGGCCTGCTGCTTTGCTGCATTTCCTGTATGCTTTTATAGCTCTATATGCCACTTCCTGTATGCATATATAGTTCTATACACCACTTCCTGTATGCATATATAGTTCTATATGCCATTTCCTGTATGCGTATATAGTTCTATATGCCACTTCCTGTATGCGTACATAGTTCTATGTGCCACTTCATGTATGTGTACATAGTTCTATATGCCATTTCCTGTATGCGTAAATAGTTCTATATGCCATTTCCTGTATGCATATATAGTTCTATATGCCACTTCCTGTATGCATACATAGTTCTATGTGCCATCCTTGAGGGCATGTTCCAAAGACATTCATTTTCTTGATGAGAGTGTGGCGCAGAGGGCACTAGGTCTAAGATGAGAGCTGGGACTCGGAGCAGGATGCTGACCTTGTCTCGGATCTGCTGCCGGACCTTCTCACGCTCGGCCTCCATGCGGGCATGCTTGGCCTTGCGCTCCTCCTCCTGCTGCCGCAGGGCCTCCTGTCGCTCTTCCTCCTTCTTCTGTGCATCAGGGTCCTTCTCCTCCTCTCCCCCCAGCATCTTCCCCATGTCCTTGGTGGCCCCTACAGGAATATGTGGTGGTCAGGGGAGGAAGAGGGTGTGGTCGGTCGGGAAGAGAAGGCAGGTTTTGAGGTTCCCTTTCTCATGGGTCAGGGGTACATGGGGGAAGGTGGTGGGGCTCACCTCCAAGGGCTTGCTTCATGACAAAGTCCATTCTGCAGGCTTTGGTTAGTGCTCCCTAGCCCGTGGCTGAATTTGCATTCAACACACCTGGCTGCTGTGCCTCCAGGAAATGAGCCCACCTGCAAGAGAGGATGGGGGGCAGGTCAGATGAAAAGCTCTCTTCCCGAGAAGGGTGGTGGAGACTGACACATAATGACCTTACTGCTGTTCTCACGGGGCACCACCAATTGAGGATACGGCACAATGCCCTGTTAGGAAGAACGAGGAGACAGAAGAGAAGTATTTACTGAGCATGTATCATGGACCAGGCATGGATGTACAATTAAACAGCTTCTGTTATATTCTTTAAAAAGAAGACTTGTTCATTTTTCTTTCATGTGTATGAGTATTTTGCCTTCCCGTAAACATGTGACCTGTGTAAGTGATGTGGGATTCCCCTCTGTATGATTACCATTAATGAATAAAGAAAACTATCTTGGGCCTGCACAGGGAATAGAGGTAGGCAGGGAAAACTAAACTGCATGCTGGGAGAAAGAAGGAGGAGTTAGAGAGAAGCCATTGAGCCACTGCCAGAGACAGACGTGCTGAAACTTTGCTGGTAGGCCACGACCGCGTGGCGATGCACAGATTAATGGAGATGGGTTAAATTAAGATGTAAGAGTTAGCCAATAAGAAGCTAGAGCTAGTGGGCCAAGTAGTGATTTAAATAATATCGTTTCTGTGTGATTATTTTGGGGCTGAGCTGCTGAGCAGCTGGGAACCAACAAGAGGTCCTCTTGCTGCATGTAAGTTCAGTGCCTGTGGAAGCCAGAAGAGGGCATCATACCTCCTGGAACTGGAGTTACAGATGGTTGTGAGCCCCCCTGTGTTGGGAATAGAACCTGGGTCCTATGTACTTCCAAAGCAGTATGTACTCTTAACCTCTGAGCTATCTCTTCAGACTTGGTTCCTATTTTAAAATCTTCAGTTTGAATATATATATTTTCTAATTTGATTGAAGCCGGGACTATCGGCATGAGACTGGAATTTGGGCTTGGAAGAGCTGTGCTTCGATGACATCCTCACTGGTTGTTTGTCATGTGACCTTCAACAAGCGACACCCTTTCCTTATGCTTTCAGTTTCATCTTTCCTGAAATGGAAGTGGCAGGGCCTGGGCTACTGCAGAGAGCAGAGAGGAGACAGGCTGGGCCATTGGTCCAACTCACCAAGCAAGCGAGCACCGTGCTAGTGGCTGCAGAAAATCAGAGAAACATGAGAATAAAAGAAAGGTCTGGTTAGCATGAGTGGGACCTACCCAGACTCTGGAAATCAGACCAATAGAGAAATAAAGCATTTGTTGTAGCATATGTCTAAGTTTTGTGTTTTATAGCTTAATGTTGATTTTTATTTTGAATTGCACATGCAGGCATTGGGGATATTATCATCTTGGCAATTCTGGCCTTTACAGAGTAAGGACCTTATAGGAGCTCTGCTAATCTTACTTCTTCTAGCCTCCTCCCTAAATTACTGATTTTCAGTTTTTATTATATTTTTAATTGTTTTTTTTGTCTCAGAAGATTTTCTCCAAATAAAGTCATAATTGGAAGGCAGTATGAAGAATATGGAAAAGTGGGGCTAACCCAGTGGTGGCAGAGGGGCCTGCAGACTCGGGCCCCAACATCTCTGAGAATTGATCCCTGGGCTCCAACTTAGAGGTCTTCTATTTTAATTGTTGACTTGTAATGATTCTTTAAAAATGTTTATTTTAACTCATATGTATGGGTTTTTGTCTGCATACCACATATGTGCCTTCCAGAAGAAGGGGTCAAAGCCCCTGGCACTGGAGTTACCAATGATTGTAAGCCATCATGTGGATGCTGGGAATCGAACTCAGGAGCTCTGCAAGAACAGCAAGGGCTCTTAAGCCCCGAGCCGACCAGCCAGTCCCTGAGTTACAATGATTCTTTAACAGGCAAGGCAGCTGCCAATCCCTCTGTTTTGTGTGGCTGCATCCACGAACTGTAATGTAATGTGAGCTGGAGGTTGACTGGGACTAGACCTCCCCCACCTCCGGGCCCTCTCATCTCTTATAGACTTCAAGTCTCTATTACTTTCTAGGAAGGAAAAAAGGGTTCGGGGAAATGATGCCAGAGGATTTTACCAGGCTAGTTATTGCAACCAAGTTGAATTCAAGGTCACAGGCTATTCGTGGATGGATTATCCTCATTTCGTTCAGAATGAGAAACCATTAGCAGACTGTGAGTTTTTCATAAGAAGGGATCAAGAATGTATCTATAGGATTAGAGCACTTAATGGGTTGTTTTTGGTGGAGAGAAATCATAATGTACTAGATGAAAAAGGTCCCAAGGGTTTTTGCACCAGACATAACTAGTTAAAGAGTCTAGGCTGGGGCCGAGTCTCTGGAAAAGCATCAGCTTGTTCCAGATGGGGAAGTATTGAGGTGATCATTTTCACTGATATTAAAGGAGAAAAATTCGGGTCAAGTGCCTGGAGATGCAGTCAGAATTTATACAAATGGCAGCTATTGCTGACTACATATTTATGGGACTCCACTGTCCAAAAGAAACATGCAGACTTTCCAGTAAAGGCAAGAGAACCCACCCTGACCCAGAAATCTGAGTCTGAAGGTTGCTCAGCTCTGTCGAGATGTTTCCCATTGATTTTAGACCTCGGGAGAAGACTTAATTTCTAAGAACAGGAAACGAGCAGCGAACAAATTGAGTGATTTCAGGAACTCTTTAGTTTCTACGCAGTGTTTACACGGAGCCCAAAGAATTACCAGGTGGTAGTGGAAGACGTAGGACTCTAATTTGAGCTGATTCAAATTGGAAGGCAGGACACCTGGGCTGTAGCTCAGCTCTGTCCCTGACTTGCTTGCTGCATGACTCGGCCAAGTCTCTCTTGGGACCAGATGCTCCCCCACATCCTTCCTCGATGTTTGAGCTGCTGACCTGCGCACCATGCCCTCAACCCCTTTCCCTCTTGGTTCTGCACCTCACCTCTTGCCTCTCCTTTCATCTCCCTTCCCTCTTTTCTTTCTCCCACTTCTCTTCTATTTCCTCATCACCCCCTTTTCCTTACTGACTCATGTTCTGCTTGCTTCTCAGACTTTAGCCTCAGCCTCTGCTTTTGTTTCTTCTGTAAACTTCCTCTTGGGGGTTTCTTGAGACTAGAGGCTTTATTGATTGCTGATACATTGACTTCTAGACCTTTTCTCTGGGCTTTCAATCCCTGGGTTTATCCATGTAGCAAGTATTAATTGAGGGCCAACTATGTGTTAGTATCTTAGACACAGAGACTCTAACAGCGAATTAGAGAGGCGAAGCTGTGCGTGCAAGCAGATTACAATCTGAGGTGTCTCCGTGTGAATAGTATGCATACGGGGAAAAATGTCGAGGGATGCATTTGTGTTCTCCGGGGTGTTTTGTGGACACAACTCAAATGCAATACACCACCCATCAACAATCCTTATTTGGACACTTTTGCATTCATGCATTCATTCAGCAATGGTCATCACTACTACCCCTCCCCCCCAAGTCTTCAAAATACATCTATTGAAGGACTGAATCTTCTCAATGCCTATATCTCTATTGCTCCAGGTGGGTCCTAAGTAATTCTGAAGCATTACTTAGCTGGGCTTCTTGGGTCTACATGAAAGTCCTGTTGTCCCATCCTTAGTGTGGCCCTCTTAGCTGGCAGGCAGTCTCTTTGCTCGTTTGGCTGAGATAGTACTAAGTGACTGCAGAGGCCCAGGCTGCGCCTCACCCCTGCCTCCGTCAGGCATGCTGTTGACGGGGGCCCTTTCCTTCACTGAGAGCTCTTCTCTGCAGAAGGAGTGGCCAGTTTGCAGGTTAGAAATTATCTGTGGGATGTGCCTGTCACGTGACAGGTGCTCAGTAGATGGAAGCTATCATTAATGTGATTAATTACGGCGATTGCACACACCTGCAACCTCCCCTCTCCTAGCCCCATGGAACTCCCTCCTCCTAGAAGAAGCAATCTAGATTTTTCTCTTTGTACTTCTTCCGTTACCCACGAATCACCATGCCCTCCTAAGTCTTTAGTGTCCTTTTCCTAGTCTCTCGGGTCTCCTCCCTTCTCCAACCCTTTACTTGAACAATGCACTTCTTTGACTCTCTGACCTCTAGTGTGGCAGAGAGTCTGCACCCCGCTTCCTCTTCATCTCCCGGTGAAGCTCCATGGCTCCCCAGATCCTCTCTTTGCACACAGCCCAGAAGCCACTCTGATCAGCGTGGCTAGGACTGACCAGGAGTGCTCACAGCCCTATGCCTCCTCTCTCTTTCTGTAGCGTTGGACGCTGATCACTGCTCCCTCCCCCTAATTTCAGCCTTCTCAGATCTAAATTCCATGACACAGCACTCTTATGGTTTTCCTTCTCCCCAAACAGGTCCCCCCCCCCCTCTCTCTCCTTCTCCCTCTCCCTCTCTCTCCTGGTTCCCTTCCTTCTCCAGGCAAAGTCCCTTCTCCTTTCCTCTGCTCCTCCCATGGAAACCTCCCATCTGTGCCTACCAATCTAGGATCCCTAGTTAGACTCAGAGTCACACATCTAAAGCCTGCAGATTTTTAACCCTCTGCTGTATAGCACCACACGTGCCATTTCCAAGTCAGTCTCTGGAAAATCAATCCCACCCTTGCCGGGCTCCCATCTCATCCTCCAGCATGTCTTGTTTAAATCCCTTCAACTGAAAACTCCCATCAGTATTTCCCATCAGCACACACTCACGCACTTACTCATCGTGTGTTCTTTGAGTACCTGCCATCTACCCGGCACTGCGGAAGAGGACAAGGGCGTGCTCAAACACTGGTTTGCACAGCCTTCCGTTATTTGGTGACTGTGATTGGGATAGAGGCGCACAGAAGACTTCTGGTGTCCACCCCACCTCCTCCCTCCTACTGCTTCGATGGCTTGGTTTCATGGCTCTGTCTGTCCTCTAGCTCCTGTCTTCCACATGACCCTCAGATTAATCCTAAAAGGCACATGTGAGCCTACCACCCTGTGCCGGTGTCTCATGGCCTTGCTAAACCTCCCACAGTCTGTGCTCTAACCCTCAAAGCCTGTGGTTGAGCCCCTGCTCCCGTCCTCTGCCTCTCTTTCCT